AAATGACCATAATCACACCACTAGTCACTTAATTTAATTGTGAAAGACACTTGTGGATGGTGATCATGTAGAGAAAATATTTCTTGAACCTCAAATTTGAAATTTTATCAATCATATCTATGCACATGACACAGGCTTGCTTGTGGTTGATTTTTTTTTAATAATTTCATTTATATATTCTGGATATTGATGGCCAACTCTTAACATAGAATCTACCTTTAGGCCTCAATCAATAAACCATGGCGCAGTCCTTTCAAATGTTGCCCTAATTAGAGTATAAATGGGTAATAAACGAGCTCCTTTTAGAATAGAGTTGATACATTCAACCAAGTTTGTTGTCATGTGACTAAACCTACTGCCTCTATAAGCTTGAGTCCACTTTTGTAATGGTATTTAATTGATCCAAGAAGCCATTTGACATGAGTGGGATCCCAATGTCGATAACTTTGCATCCAATATAGGTTGTTTGACCTTATAAGTTGTGAAAGTTAAATCAATTAGTTAGTTTAATGTCACGTACACTTGTGAATTAAAGAGTAAGACTTGTGAATGAAAGAGTAATTTTATTACCCATGTTAATTAATTACTTCTTCAAGTAATGGTTTTTGAACCTTTTGTTGAAGTTTGAAGCCACGCGACGTATGCAATATATTAATTGGAGCTCATCTGCTTCCCATCTACTTCTTTATACTATAAGGTTGACAATATGTTCTTCCCTCTAAATATTATATCAAGCAGCAGTTTGGTTGTGGTGTGACCTGCTCTAACAACGGTTGAAAAAATCATATTAAAGTCTTCTTTGTCTCACCTTCCACTATCGCGAAGCCCATGTCCTGTCTTCTGGAGATTTTCTACACCATCCACAATCTTTTGGTCAGTCGTCTATGGATCACGGTCAAATGTTTGAATATTCTCACCCTCTGCCTGGCAACTCATCAAACACCTCATTCCAGCAAGTCCCTTCCTCATAAGCATTCTTTTCATCTCACTCAAGCTTTAGTGTAGGATCATTACACATGTTTATCACTTCAAGCATGACACTATCGACATAATCCAAAGACTTCATCAATGTCATTTTATCCTTCATCAATGCCTTTTCAAACATCATAAACAGTTGTTCATCATCCTCACTTTACTCAAAATGAATAGAGTAAAAAAACAACAAATCACACTAACAATAACCACATAAACCATCTAGAAGACCAAGAAAAAGACGATATTAGAGATCATATATAAAAGAATTCTAAGTATTATATAATATTAATTCATAAAAAATTTATTATTATTATTTTTAATCCAATATTTCTAACACAACCTAAGTTTAAAATTAATTCACACTTCATTATATTTTAAAAAAATCAAAAACTAAAAAACAATTCATTAAAACTAAATTCATTAAAAGTAAATTCGTCATCGTTAATAACCGTTTCAATTCAATTAAAAATTGCTAATGAAAGTTACCATGCCATATAACTTTGATTTAAATTTATTTCATAAAAGTTATTAAGATTCTTAACGATTTTGAATGAAAAATTTATCTTCACTTACTACCACTTTAATTTAGAAGTTGTCTAAATTCAATATGACTTACTCTTGTAATATGATATATATATATATTAATCAATTACCTCATTTTTATAAACAACAAGAGAAAATTACCCCATTTTAAAAAACAAAAATTTGGCAATATTACATGTTAATAAAAAATATATTCATTTGGCACTGTCTCACACTCTTTTAATAATTTAACTTTAGCATTTGATAAATAAATGCAGAAATTTGTTTCTGCTCCAAAACCAAAGCATGTTTTCGGTTTTGCAGAAAATGGTGAAAGAAAATATCTCTTCACCATAAGCAGCCACGTAAGGAAACTAAAATGTGGATTCTTGTTGGCTTGACACCACTCTGACCTCTATAACTCTATAACCCCTGTTTTGGCAAAACCACTGTCTGAAACTAAGTGAAACTGAAACCACTACCCATTGTCACTATATATGGAACCTTGCTTATCATGAAACAAACCAGAAAGAGAAATGGAGTTCACGAATTCCAGATCTCAATCAGCTTTCGCAGAAAGAGAAAAGGAGAATGTTGATAGCTTAGGAGAAGGAATAGAATAGTCCTTGGTTTACTTTAAAACAACTTCCCTACCTGTTGTTTTTCTACGATGTCATTTGGACAACTTATCCAAATTACTTCTATTGTTGTATTACATGTTATCTCATAACCTTTTTTTCTCCTTTTTTAGAAATTTTAGTGTGTTAACCCTTTATTCCTTCTAACAAATTGTTAAAATTGGGTTTTTTTAAACTAATGCGGGAAACTTTGCCTTATTTACAAAAATGGAACAATTGACAAATAAATCTCATGACAAAAGGCAAGTCATGTGCAGTGTGGATGACATCTAAAGTGAATTTGTTAAGTATGGAGACGACTACTTAAAATTTGGAAAAGTTAAAGTTGTGTGGCATAGTAAGGACTTATGTGTTAACATTTTGAACCAAAGTTATGATTAGTACTAGCAATTTCCAATTTAACTAAAGTCGCAATGTAACAATTTCAATTGTACACTGTGTTGAATTCAAGTCGTGCTCCATGATAACGACTTACAATTGAGTTTTATTTTTTCAAAAAAGAAACAACACGTGGAGCAATGAAGTCCAGGAAGTTCAAGAGTTTAAAACTTACTAGTGTGCGTGATTGAGTACAAGATGGAATATTCTTATTAAGATAATGAAAATTATAAAATGTGGATTTCATAATATAACATAATGATAAACTAAAAATATGAAAACCTAATCACGATAGAGATAAGTTCCCATGTGATGTCCCTCATTTCTACAATATGAACATTTATTTGGCTTATTGGGATTTGTTTGATTCATTTCATTGTGGATACGAGTAGTTGTAGGTTGTCTCGATGCCTTATGGTGCATGTGTGGGTTTGGAATGAAATCAGGTCCGGTGTAGGTGGACCCATAATCTTTATTTTTAACCAGATGAAACTAAAGTTCATATGCTTTGTTGATGGTATATATATAAAATGGATGTATGTGGTCAAGTATAAATGGGAGAAATAGCAAACAACTATTACATGATAATAAGGTAATCGAAGAGCTTAAAAATGACCATAATCACACCACTAGTCACTTAATTTAATTGTGAAAGACACTTGTGGATGGTGATCATGTAGAGAAAATATTTCTTGAACCTCAAATTTGAAATTTTATCAATCATATCTATGCACATGACACAGGCTTGCTTGTGGTTGATTTTTTTTTAATAATTTCATTTATATATTCTGGATATTGATGGCCAACTCTTAACATAGAATCTACCTTTAGGCCTCAATCAATAAACCATGGCGCAGTCCTTTCAAATGTTGCCCTAATTAGAGTATAAATGGGTAATAAACGAGCTCCTTTTAGAATAGAGTTGATACATTCAACCAAGTTTGTTGTCATGTGACTAAACCTACTGCCTCTATAAGCTTGAGTCCACTTTTGTAATGGTATTTAATTGATCCAAGAAGCCATTTGACATGAGTGGGATCCCAATGTCGATAACTTTGCATCCAATATAGGTTGTTTGACCTTATAAGTTGTGAAAGTTAAATCAATTAGTTAGTTTAATGTCACGTACACTTGTGAATTAAAGAGTAAGACTTGTGAATGAAAGAGTAATTTTATTACCCATGTTAATTAATTACTTCTTCAAGTAATGGTTTTTGAACCTTTTGTTGAAGTTTGAAGCCACGCGACGTATGCAATATATTAATTGGAGCTCATCTGCTTCCCATCTACTTCTTTATACTATAAGGTTGACAATATGTTCTTCCCTCTAAATATTATATCAAGCAGCAGTTTGGTTGTGGTGTGACCTGCTCTTACAACGGTTGAAAAAATCATATTAAAGTCTTCTTTGTCTCACCTTCCACTATCGCGAAGCCCATGTCCTGTCTTCTGGAGATTTTCTACACCATCCACAATCTTTTGGTCAGTCGTCTATGGATCACGGTCAAATGTTTGAATATTCTCACCCTCTGCCTGGCAACTCATCAAACACCTCATTCCAGCAAGTCCCTTCCTCATAAGCATTCTTTTCATCTCACTCAAGCTTTAGTGTAGGATCATTACACATGTTTATCACTTCAAGCATGACACTATCGACATAATCCAAAGACTTCATCAATGTCATTTTATCCTTCATCAATGCCTTTTCAAACATCATAAACAGTTGTTCATCATCCTCACTTTACTCAAAATGAATAGAGTAAAAAAACAACAAATCACACTAACAATAACCACATAAACCATCTAGAAGACCAAGAAAAAGACGATATTAGAGATCATATATAAAAGAATTCTAAGTATTATATAATATTAATTCATAAAAAATTTATTATTATTATTTTTAATCCAATATTTCTAACACAACCTAAGTTTAAAATTAATTCACACTTCATTATATTTTAAAAAAATCAAAAACTAAAAAACAATTCATTAAAACTAAATTCATTAAAAGTAAATTCGTCATCGTTAATAACCGTTTCAATTCAATTAAAAATTGCTAATGAAAGTTACCATGCCATATAACTTTGATTTAAATTTATTTCATAAAAGTTATTAAGATTCTTAACGATTTTGAATGAAAAATTTATCTTCACTTACTACCACTTTAATTTAGAAGTTGTCTAAATTCAATATGACTTACTCTTGTAATATGATATATATATATATTAATCAATTACCTCATTTTTATAAACAACAAGAGAAAATTACCCCATTTTAAAAAACAAAAATTTGGCAATATTACATGTTAATAAAAAATATATTCATTTGGCACTGTCTCACACTCTTTTAATAATTTAACTTTAGCATTTGATAAATAAATGCAGAAATTTGTTTCTGCTCCAAAACCAAAGCATGTTTTCGGTTTTGCAGAAAATGGTGAAAGAAAATATCTCTTCACCATAAGCAGCCACGTAAGGAAACTAAAATGTGGATTCTTGTTGGCTTGACACCACTCTGACCTCTATAACTCTATAACCCCTGTTTTGGCAAAACCACTGTCTGAAACTAAGTGAAACTGAAACCACTACCCATTGTCACTATATATGGAACCTTGCTTATCATGAAACAAACCAGAAAGAGAAATGGAGTTCACGAATTCCAGATCTCAATCAGCTTTCGCAGAAAGAGAAAAGGAGAATGTTGATAGCTTAGGAGAAAAGGAGTGGGTAACAGAGGGTGCGAGTGCGATATCCAGACAGCTCCGGTTGAAGTCTTCAAAAGCCGGTTTCCAGAGTCTGGACAAACAAGCTGTCCTTGGACGCTTACGGCAACACAGGTCTTACAACAGAGCCAAAAGCGCTTTGGAGGCTCTGATGGGGACCTCTGATGCCAACTCCGCCACTGTGCATGAACAAAAGTGGTTTCATCTGGCTGACTCTTTCTCTTCTCCATAACTGGAAACACCTTAACTACTACTATTATATTTGTCACCTTCTGAATACCACCTTCTATTATTATCTTGTATGCAACTTCTCATAACCTCTCTTAAAAGAGTAGAAGCACCAATCTTCACTAAAAATGAGTCTCTCTTATACAAATTCCTCCTAATGATAAGAACTCTTCAAGCTCCATTTAATGGTTTATCTTTGTCTACAGATATTTTCTTTAAGAAAATTAAGCTCTTAACCTTGTTCTTTAATTTTAATAATAATAATAATAATAATAATAATAATAATAATAATAATACTTTATAATTTAGTTACTTCCATGGAGATTGTTTATTTACTTGTCTCAATCTAAAGAGATGAGATATATTTCAGTTAAAATATATTGGAGTTAAAAATATTTTGAGAAAAATATCATTAATTTACAATCTTTTTTGGAGTAAAACATTACTAAAGTCTCTTCACCTGTTACCAACTTGGTAAGTTTAATTTCTGACCCACCTTCCTATTGGAGTACTCTCTCCTCTTCACTTATTTATGAAATAATATTAAAATATCAATCCATGTAAAATAAAATGTATTGGAATTTAAATTCTGAATTATAATTTTTAATATTCATATATTCTGAAATTATATTTCACTATTAAACTTATGGAACGTATAAATATATAAAAATTATATTTTAGAATTTTGTTTCCGAACAAATAAAACATAATCTGAACACTGGATTCTAAATATCCAATTCTTAAAATGAACAAAGTAAAAAATGACTTATGGAGCTTGTAACTCTGGTTCTTCCTTTTAAAGTTTAGTTATCTGTGCTTTTACTTTGGAGACTTTTCTTTCCTTTTACTTTTTATTAAGTTTCAGATCCTAAGTTAATTTAGGAACTTCTTATTAAATAAATTTGGAAATTTTTTATCTTTCAAAATTTAATTAAAAAATATTTACAATCTTTTTAGTATTAAAAAAAAGTATATGTTAATAGATACAAAATTATGAAATTTAAATTTAAAACATTATAAAAGTTATAAAAGTTATAAAAGTTATAAAATTGTAAAATTTAGAAATTATAAAATTAAATGAAATCAACCCAGATGATAGAATAGAATAAGAATATGCAATACTTAATTAATCGTTACATCATTAATTAATAAAAATAATATTAGACGTAAAAAACTTAATTTGAGAAATAAAAATAATATTAGACGTAAAAAACTTAATTTGAAAAATATAATTTATAATTTTTTAAGTATTTATCATAAAAATTCACAAATTTAATAAGAACAATTAAGTTCATAATTCATGATGTCCATAACAGAAAATTATTTCAAAATTACTTAAATAACCTTTTTGTCTATGCTAATCACTATAAAATATTTTTAAATTAAATTAATACGTTTATTTGATCTTTTCTTCTTCACCTATTCTGTAATGTTGTTTCACTATTGTATAATGTTATTAATACTTTTACTTTTTTTACTTCACTGATTAAATTCTTGTTTTTCATGTGTATAGTATTAAACATTTTCCTTGCTTGTATTAATACTTTTTGTTTCCTTGGTAAAAGAAATATAAAGATAAAAAAAAGTGTTAGACTTCTACAATAAAATTAGCAAAGAGCTTATGTTTTGTTTACATTGATATTAATAATTCCTATAACTTATCTATTTTAGTTTTAGTAAATCTCCTCACAAGCATCTAAGATATTACAATATTTTCAAAATATAAATATTAAAATTAATTTTATATTCTTTTTGTTAATATTTTAGTTTGTTATAATATTGTTCTCTTCAAAGCTAAGAATGTAATACTTAGTAATGCAATTTTTTTATTCATCTCATTCATATATTACTCTATTATTTTTTTTGTCATAGATTTATAAATATAATTTTTTCATAGATTAAATTTATAAATATGAATTAAGTTAGATATAGTAATTTTTTTCTTATATACACATATTTCATATGAGTAAAATAATAATTAATATAGTAATATTTAAATAATTAATTTTTGTTTGTTCAATTTAAATAGGCTTTGCAGTGTTAAATCACATGTCAAACTGAATCACTCAATTAAAATAATCTAAATTCATCTAAAGATTTCAATGTTAGCTAATTATCAATTTTCTACATTAATTTTTTGTTATATCTTTCCTAAATCAGTTTTCAGACATTATGGAGGAACTTAGTACATGGAACAGTTAAAAAATGATTTTGGAATATATATTTCATAACACAGATTCATACTTCTGATTCACATGTTCAAGAAATGTTAAACAACTTTTATTTATGTATTTAAGAATGATAACAATAGATTTCTTTTTTCAAAACATAAGCTCATATATATATATATATATATATTGTCAGACCTCATTAAAACGCATCCAAAACCCCTCTGCGCGGACGCCAGGTGTCAATTAACGAGATTCGAAAATCAGATAGTGGAATGCAGGTGTCAGCAGACGAGCGGACGTTCGTTTTAAACAAAACTGATTTTTCCTCTGAAACCCGCCCACGCTTCCTGTATGCACTCATCTTCTTCTTCTCCAAAAATCCTGACTCTTTTCAAATTCTCCTCCTTCTCCGTCTATCAACCTTCCCCTTCTCCTCTATCAAAAAACACCCTTTCCTTTTCTTCCGATCAATCGTTTAGAGGACCGTGGAAGCACTTCCGGCGTCCCGCTTCATTTTGAACCGAACAAGTTTCACAAATTTAATGTTTCAATTTTATCTTTCTTTTTTATTTTTCTTCTTCCTCACATTCAAATCAAGTTCTTTTTGCATCGGGCATGTAGTTCTAAGTTATTTTTGGTTTCATGTTGTTTGGTTTAGTTTTGAAGAGTTGTTGATCGTTTTATAGTATAAATATTTTTAGTCTGACGAACAAACTACCTTTTATGACTTCAATATTATATTCACTATCGAGGTAAGGGAACTTATTTAATTTAATCTGTATGTTTACTCACTCTGTGTTTTGTATGAACGTCGTTGATTTGATGACTTATCAATTAAATATTTCTATGCTATGTTGATACATGAAATATATGAAATCTCTATGTTTGGATGTTATGAAATATGAAAGTGATTATAATATGAATGTGGAAAGTTATGAAGTTGTATGTTAAGAAATGAGTTTGAATATATATGAATTTTGAATAAGAAATTCCCCTAAGAAAGAGTACGTACGTTACTGAACGGTCCTTAATCGTTCGGTTTTCTAGTGAATTTGGATTTGTAGTGGATTCTTTCATTTGGGAAGAATCCTAGTTGAGGACGAGCGTCTTCACTTCATAATATTGTGCATGAGCGTTCGGTCAAGCACATGCGGTATTAAACGTTCTGTTATAAATCAAGTATATGGAAATTTTATTTTATATTGTTTCGTAAACAACTACTCCAATATTATCTTGCTATGTTATCAATCCTTTTATTTTAATTTTTATTTTTCTTCTTCTTACACCAATCGTCTTTACTATTAGTTCTCTTTCTTACACAATTTCACCCCTTCACTACGTTTCCATTCCTTAAGCTAATTTTTTTTTAATACGAGCCGTTCGTGTAAGCCCTCTAGGGTTCGTTCTCTCTAGTGTTCAGTCTTTGAACTGACATTTTGATTTCTTGATACTAAACTCAATAAAACACAAATGTTCGGTTTCTCCTTTCCTTCTTGTCCGCTGAATCACTCTAAGTACCCACTTTTTGAATGCCTTGAAATATCTTTAATTCAATTGGTTCACCTCACCCTAGAGTTCCACATTCTTTTTAGGTCTTTTAATGTTTCCTGAGTTAGTTCTCAGAGTCTTCCATTCTAATTGACTCAACGTTGAAATTGACGTTCGTCTCATTCGTTCTTTGGATATATTATTGTACATCTCGTTTCTTATCTCTCAAGTCGGTATCAACACCTTGTATTAATTACTCTAGTTCAAAATTTGAGATATCCTTGTGTTTCGTCCCACGTGTTCGATCTTGTTCTCACTTAAGTTTGAACGTTCGTTAATTTTAACGTTGATTTGGAATCTTTTGTACTAGATCGTTAACTGAAGAATTTATTAATGAAGAATATAAAATGTGTTTGGAAATGTTGTGGAATATGAACGAGCGTTCCGGGGAGGAACGACTCATGTATGAATACTGATTTGGTAAAGTATGACATGTGGGCATGCTAAAGCTGGTCGCTTCATTTCCTGATGTTCCTTTAGTACTTCGTCTTCACTTATATTATTTATGTCAATTTTTTTTAAAACGTTATTTTGCATAGTCCTTCCTTTATAACTTCATGTCATGACTCTTTAAAAAAACACCTTCTCCTCTTCTTGTCATTTAATACTTATAACTTTACGAGAAATGAACAACCTTGATTAAGTCTGTCAGGAAGCTGAAAATGATTAGGATAAGAAGTCTTCTATTTTCTTTTTTTTTAAAATGTGTTTTCTAGAATCTTTTTGAAGGAGAGGGTATCAAAAGCTGGATAGAGATGTGAAGAGTAAATGAAGGGAAAGCAAACGTGGAATTATTTGTCTAAGGCTAATTTTTTGCTTATGCTTTTGCTTCTGCAAACTGCAATCCCCAATTGTCTTAAGAACCCTCCAAAATTTTGAAAAACGTTTACAAAATAATTAATTATAAAAAATATAATAAAAATTAAAACATATTCAATAAACCTTCTGGAGAGTGGTTTTCAATATACATTTCTGAAATATTTTTTGAAATTTCAAAATAAGCTTTTGGAATATAATGTTCTAGAATAGGATTTACAAAAACTAAAAGTGTTCAATGGATTTATTTTTGCATATTTGATTGATTTTTCAAATCCACTATGACCTGTTTTTTATCCAACTCACAAATTAATAATCCATATACGAGTTAGTCAATTCTTGATATATACTGACCCATAGAAAGATAAATAATAACTTTAGGAAGAATCTATAAAATAATTTTGGTATCCTTACCCACAAAACATACAAAATTAATAAGTGAAACTAAAATAATTATGACATAAATTGAATCAAATTATTTTTGGAAGGCTATTTTTGTTTGCTATCTAAATTAAATTAATTCAGGTTAGACCAACTCATAAGTTTATGAGCTTACCTCAGTTGACCCGTAGATTTAATAATTTATGGTCTACACACGTCCTTATAAAATAATAATTTATTTAAAAAAAATAAAATTAATATTATTTTTTAACTTTCAACGAGAAGAATATATACTTTTAAAGATATTT